TTTTACCCCTCCAACCTGGATAATGGCAGTTAAAATAAATACCTATGAAATATTATTATGGAAACCACTTCTCGCAGAGTTGCATTAAAATCGGTGATTGTCACTTCGCTATGTTCCCCTGCCAGCTTAGATATGTATTCGGAATGATTACAAGAAACGAGAATGTAATCTGTTGAAATAGACCCAAAGACCCAAAAGTATCAAAAACAAAAGCTGTCCCAATACTTGTGATTCGGTCTCCAGCCAAGGTTACCTGGTCTGGAAAATCTCAACGAAGCTACCCCCAATGCCGTCGCGTTGCAACGATATCTCTTCTTCGAAATGCAAAATGTTGACTTACACCGGAAGATCTCCGGCAGCGTGAACCGCGCAGACCCGATATCCCAGCATTAAAGCGCGCTCCATACTCCGCAAATAAATCCGATAAACCCATCCGAGTCGTATTACGGCTGTGCACTCGATATATGGTACCTGCATACGATGTATCGATAAGAAATGGAAATCCGTCGGTTCTTCGCGGAACCCCCCTCAACCGCGTATAACGTCGTTTAGCAGACGCGGTGCCTGAATGGGAGGAGCTCGCGTTTTCGGCGGAAAGCGCGCCCGGTAAAACGATTCCGTAAGTGCACGCACATGGAAAACTTGATTTCCGCCAATTTCACTAAGTAACGAAGTTTCAGGTCCCCGTCCATCCAATTCGACGAACGGAAGGGAACGAAAGGGAACGGGCACCGCCAATTTACACATCGTCCACCTCGTCCACTACCCCCTCCGGTTCCGTAAACCGTGCGCTGCTCTGTCTTCGCTCAGGTGGGAGCGGAATGGGTGGGACCAGAGGGGGGGGGGCAATTAGTCTCGCGTTACCGTCCGACACGTTTCTGGAATTCAGGAACGCCACACGCGGCCCCCGACGTATTTTTCAACCGTGGCTCCTGGAACCGGTGATGTCGAAAAAATCCAATTCGGCTGGCAGATTCGTCCGCGCCAGGTGAACGCTTCGCACCGGCGCGGATAATTGTCAACGTATTCGCGAGGGACCACGGTGAATTCAATTTGTCGAATGCACGCGGACAGCTGCTTTCAATGGTTTTTCTTTCTTTTTTATCGGTAGATATATTTAGCGGAACGTTGATTTCGATTTCTACGGGTAAACCGAAACATGGTCGAGTAGAATTCGTGAACTAGGGGGGATCGGTGCTTCCATTTCCACTATTAATATTCAACTGTATTTCAAGTAGGTACTGAATGATTAAAGTGTAGTTATGTAGAGTACAGTTCGTTATGGATAGCAGCTCTGGTAAGTGTCATGATGCGTTAGTCTGGTTCGGGCAGTTAGGATGCCACGAACTCGCAGAAGTTAGAACTGATTTTCGACAAGTTGAGTCGATAACGAATGTTCCGAAGAGGAAACTGCACGTATTCATGGAGGTCAGCAGTAGAATATTTACGGAATGTAAAATCGAGGTTATTGTTATTTTCTGTTGAGAATTACTGTCGAATGATCCGAGCAGAAATTTAAAGAGCGCATCTCGATCTATTCGAGGTACGATGAAATTATTACGGTTAGCATAGCGCAAGCACTCTGACAATCTTTATTACCCCTCGAATATTGTCAGATCCAACTCACCAGATCGCGATGATCATCGAGAAATCCACGCACCGTGATATTTGTCAAGCTTACGGCGGATTATGGAGAGCAAATTTTCCAAACGCCGTTTTATGAAGACGCATGTTTTACGTAAATGGCTCGGATGACCTGTTATCGTACTAAAAAAAACCCCTATGGATTTTGGCTCCGATTGAAACACGGCTGTCCACACATTGTGAGCTCGAGTAATCCACGCGTCTGCCAAATTCGATTTAACGTGCTGTTCCACGATTAATCGTACGTCTCCGTGGCACGGGAGTAATTTTTTAGTAGCTGAATCGTATCGATACCACTGATCTACGCGTTTCAATATCATTTACAAGGTACACATCTCTGGTTGATTATTAATGACATGCTAGTATTTAACTCGGAGGAGCTCCGAATTAATTAATAGACTGCGGATTTCTATGCAAAATGACATTTTTTCAAATAATCCGTATATTAAGTCTTGACGCAAATCTTGCTATTATTCTAGATATTTTATAGTTCTATAGACGGCGATAATTATTGCGTTTGCAGTATAGTGTCATTCTACAAAAATTTCTCAATCCTTCATGGAAACACGAGGTGCAGAAGTATGCATGTACAGCGGCGATACGAACGGTTGACATCGATCATACGGAAACGGTTATCGTTGCGGACGACACGAAAAAACTGTCACGTACCCGCGATATTGTAAAAGATGACGATCATCATAGAATATAATAAATTTCATAACCGTTCGCTGGATCTGGCTGGACTGACGAACGTGATATCTTTTGTCCTCTCTTCGCCTTAGTAGCACTTCATTACGCTAACCTAATCCTCTCCAGCATTTTCGAAAATCAGCCTACCCGGATTGTTGTCTTTCACCTCTTTGGTCTGAACACACGCGACATGGTTGTCCAGAAATATCCCACTTTATGATGTTTCGCAGGCGTTAAAGTGGCGAACGAAAAGCCGAGACGTCGAGACCTTCGCCTGCTTACCTCGCAACAAATTCCCAGGTCTGGGTTAGGTCTGAAAAGACTTTCCGAGGCGGGAGCGAGAATTTTCCTCTAAAAAAAAAACCCCGATTGCCCTGCCCCCGGTGTCTTCAAAAGCGAACGAAAGGAGAAATATAATTTTCACGAGCTTGCATTATTCTCCGAATGTTTGCTGTGCTTTTTCGAAGTTCCTTCGACGATGGAGAAAATTTAATCAGGCCGACGTTCGCAAATACTCCTTTTCGTTCCGCGTTACATTACGCGAAGCCGTTCCGAGGACCAGCGCCCGTTCGAAAGTCAAACAGAAGTTACCGTTCTCGACCGACAACGAAGATTATATTATCGATAATATCGTGAATATTTCTTCGGTGGCCCCCAGGTTCTCTCGAGAACCTCGAGCAGAGATCCGTACATTCTCCTATGGAATCGCCGCGAACGAGGAATAAAAGTGGGGAAACCGATCGATCTACCCTTTCAGGTTGCCAACACGACTTCGCCGATATCGCGTATTTTCACTTTACCGTCTTTGCCTCCTCGCGATTCTTTCCCATTTTCCTGAAAATTGCAGGTTCTCGGCGATGGCTTTATATCCACGATCGCGAGAAATTCGAAGTCTGCGTGCCTGTTTCTCCGAGGAGTTCTTCTTGTGGCACTAACTTCGGAGACAATCGTTGAACCGCCTATTTCACGGAAGTATATTCGAAAGACTCGATAACAGAAGCTATTGTATTATATAGCGTTGCGTGTGTGACGTTAACAATACAGAAAATGAGCAAGGTTGATGGAATTGTTCCAAGGGACTTGTAATTATCATACGGATGCAGCAGACTAAATTATTTTATTCTTATGGTGCACCACGAGTTTGCCTAATTTTTCAAAAGCAACGATTTTATATATACTAAATAATAATCACCAGAGAAAGTCATAAATAACAGAAATGGTACTACAGTTGATTAAGGGTACGTGACCATGTATTCTTGATTGTGACGAGAACATGGTTTACGACCAAACAGATTAACGAAGCCGAAGAGAAAGACGGAACTAGGGGGAGAATTTCTCCATCGTGGCCGAGGACGGATAATGCAGATCGTAATTCAATCTAGCCAGACGCGAGAAACTGGTCAGAAAATGATTCCACATTTAACCCCGGCGGGCGCCGAAGGTCGCGTAGGCAAAGTAATGTCCCACATAACCGCTTCGGATAGGAATTCCCTCGAGAATAGTTGCCCATAGACCCGGCACCGAGTGGAACGATAAATTCTGCACGGCGAAGGCGAGCGTTATAATTTATGATTAAAAGCTGGATCGGGTACGAGAACCGGTTCTATCGAATTATCAGGCTGATTATTAATTTCGATTGAAAAAAAGAACAAAGCGTCACGAGCGTCCACTGTATCCAGAGCGAGAAAGATGAAAGAACTTTGGCCGGAGTTTTTGGCGACAGGCTCTCGATTTATACATTCCGTTCGAACAGTTTTGGAACTGCATTCCCCCTCGTATTTCACGACAGTCCGACGATAGGTTCAATTTATACACAGTTTTTGAAAATTTTTCTTCGCCAACTTTTGTTACAGCGTTCGCAGCCAAAAAGCTAGTGCAGCAATATTTGTATTCGATTGGAGGAGACGGAATGTGGTGGATTTGATGCAGGATTTAATAGACTTTAAAGATGAATTTCAAGTGTCTATGGCTCGGAGGATTCTACACGAATAACATATGATTTACGTCTTTGACTCCTATCGAAATCTCGAATAGCATTAAGGATCTTCCCGTGCGTGTGTGTGCAGCGTTTGTGAGATTTATCCAAGTAGATCCATGTTCCATGACCATCGAAATCGAGTTGATTATGTCCTCGATAACACGCTGTCGGGTCTGTTTAGGCCAGGTAATTAGCATAGTGTTTGCCGAGTCCTGGGAGGACAGTATAAGATCGATTGGAGTATCACTGATTAGTACTGAACAAAGTTTTATGTACACAGATGTCCAAACAAGCGTTTATTGAGGTATCGCTCGGTTTCAGATGACCAAGACCACAGTGCACGAATAATTGTCATCCAATCCGCGCTGCTGGTATCGTATTCAGTTATACCGACCAATGTCTACTATTGATTATTTCCAACGCAGTGTCAACAACTGCAGAGCAAAGTGTTCTTAACGATAAATCTATCAAATATTGTATACACAAATCACCGTGCAATGTCTATGTAAAAGAAGTTACTTGGAAATATCTCGTAACCAGTATTCCAGTGTTTGCAATCACTGTAATTCCGAGCTATGACTCCCTCCCATCGCGCGTGTGTGCTCTGCACACATCTGCGAATTCATCCAACGAAAGATATTTTCTTTCTCGACGAAGTACACAGCCACGACTTTCGTTTCTATTACAGAACGAGGCGGTTGCTGTAGCTCTGGGAGCTCTTTTGAGCAAAGGCGCGGAACCACATTCAACGACGGGGTCTTTGTAAGTATTTTTCCCGTCGTAAGTAAAGTTCACTGTGCGTGCAACGCGTTGCCTTCGAAAGTCACACATCATCTGTCGCGGTCATGCTGCTTTCTATTTCGTTTCATCGATCACCGTCATAATATATGATGTTCAAGTATCGTCGTTAAATTGCTTATAGTAAATTGATCGAAATTATCACTGACACAGAAGTTCCAATCCTCTGAACAAACGACGTAGCGACTTAGGCGACCACTAATCTCGACGGTGGGTTAATAAGATCGTCGGTAAAGATACGTTCACAGGACACGGCTTATCTGGCTAATTGAACTTCATTGAAATTGAACGGACCGCCGAGTATTGCGCACTCGTTACACGTCTCGGAATAATTTCACTCTAAAGGACGCACAGTGAACGTTACAACGAGAGCATCGATAAACTTTTCTTTTCACGTTACGTTTCAGGGAGAAACTCCTCTACAACGTCGATACCGAGGAGAACTATAATTTACTGGAGGACATTTACGAGACCCTAAATTACCACTGCGGTAAGACTTTATTGCCTCACGCATCTTTTTATGCTAACAATAAGTGCCAGGGAAAGTTTTTTAATTTATCCTCAAAAAAAAAAGCTGTAGATCACCATTTCTGATTGAAATCTTTCTTCTGGCAGACGGTTGATCGTCTTAGAACATTCCTTTCCAATGTTTTACAAGTAACGAAATCTTCTGTCGTAAGACAAAGAAGTTTCAAAGAAAAACACTTGATTCTGTTATTCGAAATATATGGGGCAGAAGTTTCAAAAGAACTTGTCCTAATAATTATTATATTTGTCCTCATATTTAAACAAATTAATCTGGTACTCGATATATATGGGGCAAAAGTTTGCAAAGAACACTTGTCCTAATTATTATAATAATTCTATTCCATTGAATAACTACCCACGGAATACTTATTTGCCATTGTTTGAACCGTCGCGTCGTCGCAACGAATGCAGAACACGCAATGATTATTGGCGTTTCGCCGTTTCCCGAAGCCGTACCCGGCAAATCTTCTCTTGTCCAGAGTTGAAAAGTTATGCGATACTTCGCGGGCTTCGTGTTCCGCGCTCGGAAGCGGTAAGACGAGGCAGTGACACTTCTTGATTTCCCTCGCAGTTGCGTTGCACGCGTCCCGATAATCGAACGTGAAAACTCTTCAGTTCGAGAAACTATTATTAGGTCAGTAGGTGAAAAATTTCTTTAACATTTAACGACGTGCAATTTTCACGAACTTCAAATTTTCGAATAGCCTCGACATAATGTTTTATAACTCTCGTTTCCAATTTCTTCAATCGGTCACAATTACTTTTGGAAATTTCAGTCAAATGAGAACAGCATTTGCAAACGAGGAGCAATTTGTATCTTTCATTCATTAGCTTGATCCAGATTTCTCAAATAAAAAAGGAACGATTGAAGAGTTTACGTTACTCTACCGACGCGTGCAGGCCTGAAACAGCAGAAAAATGCAATTTCACCTGCACCGAGGTAATATTTCCGCGGGGTTGATACATATCCCTCGCTGGAAACTCGTGCCGTGCCGAAATCAAGATTCCCGAATGAAAAACCGCCAGGGTATTTGTTGCCGTTGCACACGCGACGAGTGAGATTGATACGGGAAAACAATTCCCGTGTGTTCCTTCAAAGGAAACAGTTTACGAGGACATGTTATGAGGCGAGAAGGTCGTCGTAAAATAAAATCGACGTTCCATGGACGGCGAGTCTCGTGCACCGACACGTTTTCATTTTTTTTTCCTGACAAAGTCAACTGCAAACGGCGGCAATTTGCGTGTCGTTCGCGGTACACTCGCGGTTGAATCGAACGTGATTACACATCATTTTTTTTTTGTGTTTCGACCGGAGCGTTCCCCTTTCAAAGGGATCCCGTCTGTTGACCGACCTTTTTAATAAAGCAACCGGGAAAAATTGAAACTCGATGAATGGAGACTACGGCCGTATATCTATACGTTCTCAGAATCCGGGGAGCTAATTTCGTTGAGCTTTTGTGCCCAGGCAGGAGCTTCCCTTTAAGCGTCTTCGCGCCCGCTTTATTCTCGCCGACTTTTTTTTTCTTCTTTGCTCTGCACGCCGCCGTTGATAACGCGGGATTCGTTAATACGGGCTTGACCGAGTTTTTAATTGAATGACCGCAGAATAGCGCGAAAACCAATCGATACGTAGCCTCGCGGATATAAAATATTCAGCGGCAGTTCTCATCCCCTCCTCTCGATAACAGGGCCACAATTTGTAATCCCATTTTATCCGTTCCTCTCGTTTTCCCTCGCCATCATCGAGAGATCGATGAGCCCCGACCGAAGAAACAGCGCTTAGTTAACCGTATAACCGACGACTAAATACGTCACGTTCATCGAGCCACCCTGCCTCCTCTGAAAGGCATCCTCAAGACACGGGGAAGAGGAAAAAGAATATTAAAAATGGTGAAGTTCACGGATAATTACTCCGGACGGCTGAAGAAAGGGCACGGTCGTCTCTGGTGAAGACAAGTTCTTGCTTTAACCGGGTTTGCTTAACTGCGGTTTATTAAGCTTTTTCTGTGGATATGAAACTTCGCACGCCCCGGGATAATATCTTGGGACACCTCATTAATCTCAACGATAATACGGGCAGATTGATGAGACCGATACGACAGGTATCCAAGATATTCGAGGAATTTGGCAGCAGGGCCCTTGATGAGGAAGATCAAAGGCCACCAGAATCTTGAATATTTCGTACTAATTCAGTATGTTAATGATCTCGTTTTATTATAGTAACAATATTATTATTCTGAGCAAAGTAACATTTTCATCAACGTCGTGATAAGTCGAAAGAACTTGTATAATCTTCGCGATAATATTCGGTGTGCACATATTTTTTTATCCGATTGAAAGATGTCAGTGTGTTCTTAGAAATATCGAACAAACAAAATCGCTGATGACTATAAACTTGGGAAGATAAATGATACAATGACAAGAATTTCACAGTCTCTCTCTCTCTCTCTCTCTCTCTCTCTCTCTCTCTCTCTCTCTCTCTCTCTCTCTGTTATTGAAAACATTCGTCGTTTAAAGTTCATTTACCCGCACGCGTGCAATTACGTGATAAAGAGGAAAACAAAGGTTTCCGAGCATGTCAATAAAGGTGTCCATACGCTCGAAATGCTGTTAACCTGTGTGAAACTTGAAAACGACCAGTTTTAATTGGCGTGTAAAATTCACTCTCATTCACTTCAGGCTACCGCGATCACCACCCAAATTTTCACTTACCGTAACGATATTACGATAAAATACAATTTTCCCGATTTTCCACTGTCAAAAGTTTAAACGTTTACCTGTTGAGTAACATGCTTATTATTACGACTATAATTCCATGAATCAGATTTACCAAAATTTTAAATGTAATTCTCAAAAAAATGTTCAGTTTCTCCATATAACTGGACTGCAGATTCTACGTACTCATAGCTTACAAGACTATCTAAAATACGATGAAAGCTTTGTCCCTTATTATATTTCGCAAAGCCCGCAGTCTAATCATCACATTATTCTATCACTATTTATAGTTATCACTTTCTTCCCACCTCTATCCTTCTATCCCGCAATGTCGATCCGTCTGCTCGATTCGAAGCAAGTCCGTTCCAATTTCACCGTCTACATTTACTGGTAGACTCAACAAGGTATCGCGCCTCGAAGACCACGGACTCGATACCACTTCGTTCTACGCGTTTCGTGCTAACGAGAATCGCCGGTACCCGAGCGGGATCCGATGTAATCGAAATCATTGGTTGGCGTCACCTGGGACAGCGATCCAGGGATTACGCGCGTTCGCAGTGCGGCGAGATTGAATCGCGATTGAATTAATTTGTTAATTCCCCCGACGGTCACAAAATCGCGGGAGAAGTCTTCGTAACGTTTCGAACGACCGCGCGACTCCTCTGGTCGCGAGCCGCGATATTCGAAGCGTGCCACGGCTCGTAATTACACGGGGCGAAATGCAAATTCGCGATAACACGTAAATACCGGGGCAACTATGCCAGACACGCGCGACCTTATCTCGATGATGCAGCCTCTAACGAGATCGGAGCCCCCCACTGTGCAACAAACGACCCCGTAAGAAAGTTTCCGCGGCCGCCCCGTTAACGACGGCCAATTCCGAACGTTCAAGATTAATGAACTCGACGACGATCCTGGTCCAAGAAAATTGTATTCGCGACACCGAATCGCCTTCCGTCTTGTTCGTAATTTATACAGACTGTTATAAGGGGCGGTTTATGTACAGATTGATACGTCATTTTTCGGCGAAATTTGGAAATTGAATAAAAAAGGTGGATCCAGGTACGAGGAATAATTTCCCTCTACCATTCTCCCGGGACAGTTGTACAAGGTTTCGTAATCTTCATTACGGTTTTGCTGAATTAGCTGGTTTTTACAGAGCGTCCGGGGAAATGTATCGCTGTGTTCGTACGAGATTGAAAAACCAAAGGAAATTTTAATCGGCGGAAACGTGACCGTAATCCGTGAAAAGTAAAATACGACGAAATGACCAGCTTGGATAACTTCGAATTTCCTGGCGGAACACGAACCACCAGATTAATTCTACCAGAATTTAGCTTTCTGTAAAAATGTCATCCGATATGAGTAATTTTTCAACTCGGTGCTGTAACTAAAAATAATGTCGATTCGAATGACAGTGGTCTAAAAGTAATTTTCTTTGGTGTTATGTGTGTGGGTTGTTCTTCTCAACGTTTGACAATAAATTTTAGTAATATCTCTGAGACTGACCAGACATACCATATGGTGGTACAAGGAAATCGATATTTGGACCCTCGAAATGGTAATACGTCTATATGACTCCGTTATCGATTCGCCTGCAAAGGGACCATCGTCGTCGCCCTTTCTGATGCTTTCCCTTGTCTTCTCGACAATTTTGGGCGTTTCGCGGGGATGTTCGGTTTTTGACACATTTCGCTATTTCTCACATTGCCCCTGTCGAGCTGTCGCTTCTTCTCCGCTAGGCAGAGTACACACGAAGCGCCTGGTGTACGAATTCAACGGAGAACTCCGTTTCCTCCGTGCGAAAAGTAGGACGTACGGCCGTCCGACGAAGCTGAATATTTCATCGACGAAACATCGAAAGACAGGGCGGATAAAAGCGAAGGAAGTAAATCCAATTCGGCCGCGTTTTCCATTTCCCTTTGAAATTCCGCGGAGGTTACTGAAAAACTGCGAGAACGATGGTTCGCGATACGTACATTGCAGATTCCGAGAAAACCGAGGGAGGAGAAAATATTTCGGTGAAGATTTAAGTATGCGAGTCAATACACAGGGTGTCTCCAAAAATTCTTTATACAAATTTTATTTGCGCACTTTCGTAACAAAATATCGTGTACATGGAGTTTGTAATTGCTTTCTTTCTGACTTCTACCTTTTAGTATGTTACGATAAAAGAATGTAGAGCTGATTCTTGTGCTAAAAAATTTAATTTTCTATGCTTCTCTATATGTGGAAAAATTGTAAGCC